GTGGATAAATTTTTTTAATTCTTACGTTTTAAGGTTCTATATTAAATACGACATTAGTGTTAAGGGTGGTTTTTTTGTGTGTTGCCACTTCAGTTGTGTACTATTTATAAACATGACATTACCAATTTCTTAGGACATAAGCGTTGCGGAAGTTTATTTTGGGCAACACACGATGCATTTTCCCGTTACTCTCATAACTGTTGAAGGCCGTCGCTACCCAATGGAAATGTGCAGGCTTTCGTCTGGGGTCGATTATAACCCGGGGACTTTTTGCATTTTGCCAATGGGTGGCAGTATTACGTTCAATCAGAGAATATACGTAACGAGTATTACCTCTATTTTGAACGAGATGATTTCAGAACATTCAATGTCAAGGTCTACACGGCTAATGATATTGAGAGGCCTCCACAGCACCGGTTTAGCATAAAAATAAAAAAAAAACTTATGTCGAGTGTGCACTGTTGGTAAGTGATTGCATATTTATTAATAAAAAATTATGTAATTTAATATTTTTTTCTTATATATTGTTCTTGCATATTTATTAATAAAATATGCATCATGTTTTTTCGTATACATTGTTCTTGCATATTTATTAATAAAATGTTATGTATTTTAATATTTTTTTTCTTGTTGTTGTGAAGCCAATACCAATGCAGTTTTGGAACCCACATATTGAAGGCCAGGTTCCGGAGATAGACATTGCTGTGCTTATGTTCAGGGGGGACAAATATTCGATGTCTATCGACCGGAATCATGGTAAGAGGCGGCTGAAGGATGGCGATAGCGCCAATTCTTTGAAGAAAATGGCATTGTGGAGGATTCGGAGTGGGTCTTTACACTTATTCCGTTTAGGTATTCCCGGTTTAGAGTGGTAAAAATTTCTGTGTAGCATGTATCTGAACGACAAACATTTAAACACTTTTGTTCTGTCCTTATGGTCTTTTGATGTGACATTATTTAACACTTTTGTGTTAACGGATTGTTATGTTTATTAGGACAATTTTTATGGTTTATATCATCTTGTGAATGAATCTTTACGGGTACAACAACGAAACAATGGAACAAACCACCAACCACAAATAGCATTACAAACTTCTTGTCAATGGAACAACAACGGGTACAGCTTGTCAATGGAACGACTACATAACAGACAACTAGGAACATGAAGTGACACACGGGTACAACACCGAAACAATAACAAACATAGTAAAGCACTTAAACAAACAACCAAGCGCAACTAACATTAAAATACACCACCGAAACAAGAACAAACATAGAAGGGAAATATATAGTGACGAAGCTAATTCCACGGCCAATCATGCGCGTAGTCCATAGGAGTGGCGGAACATGCAGTAGATACAGAATTTTCCTCAGCTTCATGTGCACCGTGAGAGGAGTTGTCGTTTGTGGGTTGGTTCACAGAGCCATCAGTTGACCCGGTTTGACTGTGTATGGATTGCTTCTTTTTTGGGCCCTTTGAACTGCTACCCAAATAAAAGGCCGGACGTGGTGGTTGTTTCTTACGGGGGATGTTAGTTCGAGCGGGGTAGGGAACTAACCTACTCGGTGGCAGACGGTTTGGAGGGTACTCCTCCACATCGATAACTTCAACACCTTTGCCACGCCCCTTACTGCCCTTCTTCTTGCCTTCGTCGTTGCTGTCAGAAATGATACACCACTGCAAAGGATTTATGTACGGTGGCTCCTCGTGAAACAACTCCACAAGTTTGTTATGATGTGGATCACCTTCCGTCATGTACGCCAGGGAAAAGTCATCCCACTACGTTGGGGAAAAAAATATAAATTATGGTACTTGTTGGTATAACAAATGAAAATGCATTTATTTTCGACAAAACTCACCCTTAGCATTTCATCCCAAGTGCTACCCGAAGCATGGTACTTGTTATGGCCGACATCGTATTGAACACCAGCCTTGTCTTTCAGAGCCGTGAAAACATCATGTCATTTCTCCAAAACTCCAACGCGTGTTCCGATGTACTCCATCGTGAAACTCTTGCTAAACCACGCATTGAATGCTTACGTAGCACCAAGTATGGACTCAGTATTATCTGCATTTGGAACAAAGATACCACATAGCTTATCTTCAAGTAAGTAGTTGATAAGAAAGTCATCAAACTTTGGTGTCCAATTTAGGTCGTACAGATTGTCTGCCTGCACTAAACCAAAATTAGGAGCCATCGCAATTTTATGAAGTAGAAAATTGTTCAAGTTTTAATAACAGTTCAGTAATATTTGCCTACTTACTGCTATGGTTGTGGAATACATGTTCTACATTATGGTGTTTAAATAGCAAAAATTTCGGGCACCAAGATCAATCATGCATTCGAAGGTGTAAGGCAAGATTTTTGGTCTTCATGCTAGTGTTGTCTAATCATGTCGGATTTGCAGAATTAGCTTAAAGCTACCTCTAGTCATGTGTAGTGAATTGTCATAGTCTGTCCCTTGGAATCTAATTTTTTTGACGAAAAAGATGACGAGACAATGCATTTGATGGTCTCTTAGGTGATGTGCGCATGCTCTTTCAACAGTACCAATAATGCAAATAAATTTAATGCCACAGGACCAATAATGCATGTAATTTATTTAAATTAGAGAAGATGATAAGGACCTATTTAAAGAAAACACGTAACCATTGACCATTATCGTAGCATGAGTTGGCATAGCGTGTCACCTTTGCAGAAAAGATGAACAATGCTGTAGACATAGATTGTATCATCTATGCAGGTGTTGTCATATCATGTCATTTTTACTGTGATAAAAACAAATAATTTAACATGAATGGTCATAACAAGTCCTTTACGCAGTATGACTGTATGTTCAGATGCATTAATAGTTGTCACTTCTACGCACAGGTTCAACATCAAAATTTATTTTATATGTTACGAGATGTAACATATCTTCAATTTTAGCGTGCCAAATTAGATACACATAAACCTCACTGATACGGGTGTCAATTATTTTTGGCATCCCTGACATGTACACATGATGTTCAACATGGTGGTGAAGTCCCTTAGTAGTCAAATCAAATCAGCTTTAAAGAAAAGCAAGCTTCAGCCTACCTATAGACCCCCACCATGAGCTGTCATAACACGTCATACGAAAACACATAATGGGAATATAAATCATAGTGCAAGGTTTACCCAACTAAAGGGTCCATGCAATGACCATCTGTCACAATAATAGAACATAGTTGTTTAGAAAACATATTTATGTTTTTCAAAACCAAAATAGACTACCATTAAACATCAACATGTTTAATTCTACACAAGCTTACTTAAAAAAACAAAAGAGTGAAACAACAAAAACGATGAACCAAAAGGTACATTTCATGAGTGTGACCTTCTTCTCCAACTTTCGAGCTTGACGTACAACATCATCAAGTCTCGACTGTAGTTCAACTTTTTCTGTTGTTGCAATCTCCAAATCAGTCATTATCCGAATATTCGCCTCTTCCAGTGCTTTGATCTCGGTGGCTTTTAACTCCAACCTCTCCGATAGCAATTTCTCCATTACATTTTTGCACATTAGTTGCTCGTGCAACCTATCCTTTTCAGCCTTCAGCTTGTTGAAACAACCCTTTTGGAACGGCGGCAACTCGGGATCAATCCACTCAAATAGGCGACAAGGCGGTTCGGGCTATGAACAATGAACATAAATCAGAGGCAAAACTTCATGTACGGATAAAAAACAACTACTTCAAAACACATTAAACATGCCAGTCAACTATAAAAACTTTACCTTTCGGAGAGGGCATTTAAAGAACCTTCGGGCTGGGTTTTCAGGGGTCATTGATGTCAACACAGCGGCTTCTTCGTCATGTTCACACAGCCTAACCTCAAACGGGGTATAGGCCCTGTTATATCGATTGGTTGAACTCGTGTGAGAAGTATTTGACATGTTGCTTGCCTGAAGAGAAGAATAAGATAGTAATGGTCTAGTAATCCAAAATAGCAACAGTCACATTAAATAAAAAAATGGAACAATAAATATCGAGAATGTTTTGGAGCTTCAACATAACTTGAAACAAATAAAACTTACATACGTAGTTAAATGAGCATGGGAAAACATGTATGGATTTAATCTAATTAAATAAAGCTATTGACAATATTTCTGTTTCTACGAGCATTAACACAACAAAGTAAATAAATAGATTCCTCCGAGGTTCAATGGCTACAGCCCAAAACATAACTAATTCCACCATTTCCCACAAACACAATCAATCAAACAATTGTACTTGGCCAAAGGGTCTTTATAACAAAGTTAATACAATATGACAAACTCATTGACCAAGCACAGAGAATGTTGTGAAGCCATTGCGCATACACAAATGTTGAACATAAAACTGTTCAATGGTAAGAGTCGAGAATCATATCAATCCTGGATTAAAGGCTACCAACACATACAACCCTTTGAACTTCATACCATCAACACACATAATCTCTAGCAACACATACACAATACGATTGTGGTACAAATTATGATAGGTAAACCCGTACCCAAGACAGAAGACGAAGCTCGGACATTAAAACACACCAACAAAGACCCAACAGTAATAAAAAATGTCGACTAAAGTGTGGCATATCTTCATAATTAGCATCATACATGAAAAATAGTAACACAGTACACAATCAATAGAATCTCAACATTGTCAGAAATTTAAAATAATTAAACCAACCGCAGGATGTTCAATTGGCGGAGTCGTATCCGTGTTTATGAGGTTCTCGTCGCCGATTTTTGGGTTGGGACTGCTAGGGTTCGAACAATTTCCACTTTAGCAGGGCAAACGAGAACTCAACTTTTGGGAAATAGAAGCAGTATTGGGGGAAAAAAAAAAACTGATACTAAATCACCAAAAAAGGAAACACACAACTCCGATACCCTCGTGCTCTCCGTCGATTGGAAGGTAAGCTCGAATTTTTCAATTACATGAAAAAGGAAAAAATCGAAAAGCCAGTGTTTACCTATTGGGTGTCGGGAGAATGTCGTCTGCGGCTGAATTCAGGAAGTCCCGGCTTCTCGTCGGGAGCAACGTAGCTGGTATCTCTCGTCGCGCAGTTCTTCACGGCGATTTAGGGCTGAAAGGCGGAGGGGGACGATTTAGGGCTTAGAGGCGGAGAGTGAAGGCAGGTAGATGAATTCGATTTTGGTACAGAAATAAGGGTAACTTAGTATTTTGCTTATTTATGTTGTCAATTAATCCATCAAAGTAAAGATGGGATTTAGTTATTTAAATCCCAACCACAAAAGTAAACGAGGGACTGATTGGTGAGCTGTAAAGTTGTTGGGATAATTTTGTCATATCCCATCATGCAAAGTAAATGACCCCTAAGTAGATGAAATAGATAATTAAGTTCAAAAGAAGAAGGATAAATAAATGATAAAAAAAATGATAAAGACAAAAAAAAAAGGCGGGTGATTTGGTGTGTGGGAGAAAAATGTGTTATAGAAAATAGAAAAAGTAAACTTGTGGGGTAATGTGCAAGTGGGAGAGAATAGAAAAAGTAAACTTGAACAAATTCATGTAACTCCACCTTTTTTTTATTCATAGAAATAAACTCAAGCAATATATATAATAATGGAATGATATATGGGCCGGTGCCCCTCCCACAAACTGAGCCTTGGGCCGTCGCCCAGGTCGCCCTTGCCAGGGCAGGCCCTGTATACACTCATGTGAGTAAACTTATAAACCATAAAAAAATAGAGGAATTTTCACCCTTACTTTAAGTTATGATATATATTGCACTTATACACCTATTATAAGCTTATTTATAAATTTACTAAATTATGCATAAAAAATTACATTTATACCTGAAATAAGAATGGTCGAGATGTAACGGTTTCTTAAGGAATTATCCAGACAAATTAAAGTAAGTGTTTTAGTTAATTGAAATTAATTATTCACTTACCAAAAAAGCGGAACCAACTTAATTCTCTCTCTCACTATGCTATCTTTTCTCTCTTTGCGCAAAACCAGCACCGCCCCACGTTCACCTCTCTCAATTATAAAAAATTCTCTTCAATGGCCAAGACGAAACTACCAAATTCGGCTCGAAAAAAGCAGAAAAACGGTGTCGACGAAACACCACAAAATATAGTTTGATATATGTGTAGTATATCATTCATAATACATTTTATGAAGAAAGGACAATCTCAACGATGTTTTTATGAACTTTCTGATGGACATATATTAGTTGAACTTATATTCTGGTATATCTAACTTATATTTTGTTATATTTATGGTATATTAGTGGTACTTTCTGTTATGTTCTGGTATATCTTGATGGACATTTTAGTGTTTTTTTATTTTTTCTTTTTCCTCCTGTTTTTTATGTTTTGACATGTGTGGTATATTTGTTGGTATATGTGATCCTCGGAAAACAAAAATCTACTCGGATGGTCACGAAAGCATAAGACACGCAGTAGAAAAGGTAGTGGTATATTTTCAGTAGCAGTTATGTATTTTTTTCATGAAAATGTGATATCTTCTCCAGCGGTAATCATTCATGACCCATTCACCCCCATGATGTATGAAGTTCATCATATTCGGATCCATCTGGAAATGAAATNACCAAAGACATGAGAACATAGATATACCATCTGTACAAAAAAATCAACATCTTCTAAGACTTCATGAAGGTCAATATCACAAAATATACCTCCAAATCTTTGTCGAGTAAACTATTTCTCTCGTTCTTCAATGTTTTGTTACGTGATGAGTTCCCACAAAAAAAATCCGATCGCCGCTCCACGTCTTTTTTTTTCTGTTAATGAAAATCGTGTTTTCAGAAAAACCTCGTCGCCGGCGTGTTTCCTCTTTCTTTTCCGTCTGTTTCAACTGAATTAATATCTTTTCTATCTTGAATCCTGAAATTGTGCGCTACAAATATGGAATGGTTGTTCACCTTACCCGTAATTGTTTTTAGGCATGAATATAATTAGTTTTTATCTCTTAGATGTATACACAAATTTATTGGCTTGAATGGTAATGTTGCAATTACTTAAAAACGGTAAGCATACATAAAAATTTCCCTAAAAAATAAAACTAAATAAGTCTTAGGAGATGGTTTACTACGTTCAAACCAATCCTTGCTGAGGAAGATAATATGGAAAAAACGGGTGTCACAAATCATTAATTCGTATGGAAAAAAGCTACATTAAAAATAAATAAATAAATAAATAAAACAACAACACAACACACAAATACAATCATGTGAGTAAACTTAAAACCCATCTAAAATCGAACTAAGTAAGTGTTAATATATGTTTTACTATGTTAACACCATCTCACTGCAAGATATTTCAAGTAACATTAGACACCAACTCACTCGAAATGCAAAAAAAGAGCAAACTTTACACACAAGAAAACCACGGGCTTGACCTATAACACACACACACACACACAAGTTCTCACTACTTCATGTGCTTTATTATCCACTATGCGAATCTCACAAACAACGAAGTTTTTCACAACAAAATCACAGCTAATCAAGAGTCGACTAAACAAACCCAAATTTTGCAGCAAAAAGAAAGAGCCCACAATCAACATAAATTGCATCATAAAGTAATGCTACTTAACCCGACAAAGCGAGTCTGAAACAGAATTACATTATGAAACGGAATCTAAAGGCTCGAAAAATCAAAACAACTAATGGCAATGGAAAATATTTCAACGTACTGCGACAGAAGGCGATAATTGGGATTTCTGCAAGAATGATGTAGTTGAACATGTAGATAAACTTCTGACGGACACGACAGACAAAGAGGCTTTGGAAAATGATAGATGGCATTTTATGTTACTGTAATAAAAAGCGATAAAATCAGATTGGCCACCAAAAAAAAATTAGAAAAGTAGACTTTGTCTTCTTCGGCTGATCAGTGTATCAAAGATTAAAAGGATTTAAAGAACAAGTAAGAATTTCGCAATTCAGAGTGGATATTTGTGCTTTGCAAAGTGAATCAACGAAAAACTCCACTAGAATTAGCTATGGGAGGTGACTGAGGGTATATTTGCTTCTAATAAATCACAGATCAACATCAAATCCACTTCCACAATATCCCAAAAATCACGCACAACTACAACATTTGCAAAAACAATGAAAGCGGAAAAGGGTTTACACAATCCAGTTAAGAAAATTACTTGAAGATTGTCCTAGAAGAAACAAAGATCAAACCGAGCGAAAAAATGAATCATAGTGAAAGAAATAAGAATGGATCTGGATTATTGGATACATCATAACATGGTGATGATTAAGTCAAATTTTGGTCAATCATTAATGACAATTTGATAATTATTTAATCATAGTATGATTAAATATGTATATTTAATCAATAATTAAGGATAAATCGGTCAATACACATATATTATGTAGGACCCCCTCACCAATTAAATATGGATTTCTCTTTCATGATCCTCCTCCATTATACCAATGGATTTCAGATCTAAGCAACACACACACACACACAGGAGAACAGCCCGCCGCCGTACCTCCTCCGTGACTCCACCGCCAGCCGCCAACTGCGACGCAAGAGACTCCAGCCGTACATCTGCCGTCCGCCGCCAATCGCGGCACTGGAGACGTCGGTCGTTCCTCCGTCGTGCTTAGGCAACCAATCTCGTCGGTGTCCTCCCGCTGACAGCCTCAGATCCGGTCGCCGTTAGCCGTTAGCCGTTTGCCTCATCCAGATCCTATGCGGCGGCGCCGCTCTCGCGTCGTCTTCCACAGGAGGCGGAGCAGAGGCGACCTAGCAGCTGATGCCAAACCGGTGAGGAAGTTCAGTGACGAGTGTATGTCACCGGTAAGGAAGTTCAGAGCCGACTTGGGTGATTGGGGGCAATTTTAGGGTTATGTGATTTGTTGCTGATCTCGAACCACATCGCGGCGGTGGGGATGGCGGCGTTGAGGGCGGCCTGACTGTGAATCCGGCGGTCGGGTGTTGTCGGCGGCGAGTTGTATCTGAAAAAGAAGTGATTGAATGGTGTTTTTGGAATTTGGTCTTATTTTGGACAAAATTTTTGAATGACAGTGGTGGCTGCATTTTGGGGTCGGCGGTGGGAGGTGATGTGGTCGTGGACTGACGACCGTCGGCCCATCGGAGGAGGTTCTCGTTGGTGGGAGAGGGGGGAGGAGGTGGTTGGGTGTTTGTAGAATGGGGTTTGTTTTTTGAGAATTTGATAGGGTAGAAGGATTCAATAGCAATTTTATAAACATAGATAAATTATAATTGAGTTCAAGGGTCAAATATATAATTAATTAAAATATGATTAGTATTTTATCATTTAATAATTTAATATCTTAAATTTCCTATTTTTGTTGTATTTTAATATGTATGGCAGTCTTGTAATTCATTAAAAGTGCCATAAGTGCACATTATAATACAAAAAATGCACATTATTGTATGTTAAAATGCACATTAAAAATAACATCGTAATTTAGTTAAGGTATACATTTTGCAATGCTTATCGTTCTGTTGGTTTTGTTGTTTTCGTCGTTTTAAATAATAATGTCGACATATAATCGAAATATTTAGATTTTTTAAAGTAGAATAATCAATAATTAAGTTGAAATATAAAAAATCCGAATTGAAAATATCTTAGTTCGGTCGTTCTCGGTCACTGTGCAGTCTGATATACATTAATGTGCAACATGTCTAACACGATTGTGCAATTTCTCTGTTACTTGTGTGCAACATGAATTAAAACTAATATTAATTATGTTGTGTATTTTTCCGGTTAATATTATATTCAGTATTTTAATAATTTATTTTAATAAGTTTATATTGGTTTTTGGTTGAAAAACATAATATATGAAATTGTGAATCTGATGTTGTGCATTCATACTTAAAATAATGTACATTTAGTCTAACATTATTGTGCATCGTCTTGTGCGTGTATTTTTTTTAATTCGTTACAATTTTATTAATAAATAATAATGCATATTTTTAATTAACATGATTATGCAATTAATAAATTATTTATATATTAAAATAAAATTATCATTTATAATTTTTATTTAATATTTTTATACTCATTTGATCTGACAATATTGTGCAATCTGTCTTTCATTAATGTGCGTCTTGTTTAACAATATTGTGTAGTATGATAGCCACTAATGTGATATATTTATTATTTTTATATTTTTATTTAATATTTCTATTATTTTATTCCAACACAAATTATTCAAAATATTTCATTTTTATTACTCTATCTAGACCAGGCTAAAACTGGAATGAAATAATCGGTTTATTCGTTGGGTTAACCGAATTAAACTAAACAGTCGAAATGATTTATAATTTATATTTAGAATTTTAATATTCATATTTTATATTTTGTTTTATATTTTGTTTGAAAATTCTAATATACATATAAGAAATATAAAAATATATTGTTTTTTATATAGTTTGGTTGGTTTTATTATTTAAAAAAATAAAGAAGACATTTAACCGACATAACTGATTTTTTAAATTGAAAACAGATGATAGAACCAACTTGTAAAAGTTCGATTCAAAAATTTAGTTTAATCAGTGTCATCCATTATTGTGTACTGTATCCGTCATTAATGTGCATTTCGTATAACACTATTTTGCACTCGAATCGCAGTTATATTTAATTTGAATATACATAATATATTGTGCATTTTATTTATAATAATATGTATTTATTATACTTTCTATGAATTTCAGATTTGGCACATGAACCAAATTGAAATATAATCAAATTTCATTAAATTGCAACCAAGCCCTTGAAGATCATTTAATTTTTTAAAAAAATGCCCAAATTCCCAAACTGTTTTTCTACCACCAATGTGTCTGCGCGTCACCTTCTTCCGGCCGGCGACATCCGACGTCGCTGTTAACGGCGTAAATTATCCCGTCGATAAGAGAGCCACTGCAGTACTAGATGAAGGTTTTTTTCCGGCTGTAAAACCGCCATGGCGGCTGAGCTTGACTGTCGATTTTCCGATGTAGCGAGGTGGAGTACGTACGATGGTTTCGACGGCGGCCGGTGTATGACATAACTTTCGAGGCGGAGGACGACGTCGGACATGGTGGGTTGGACGACGTCGAAGGGACCCACGTCTTCCGGCAGCGAGGTGGCACATGGCAGACGTCGCTGGAGAACCTGTGGAATCGGGACTCACGTCTTCCAGCAGTGCCCTTGGTTTTAGACGTTGCCGGAGCACCTGTGGAATCGTGACGGCGTCGGAGGGCTCGGCCAGATCTGCAATTTGTTAACAGTGGAGACGGAGTGCTTGCCCGACTCTGCGAAGGAGATTGACGCGGCAGCGTACAGACGGCGGCTCTGGTCCTGGAGTTGGAGCGGCGGCGGACATTGGAGGAACGGCAGGTGCGGGAGGAGCATCAAACATAGATGTCGTCGGGAGAGAGAAAGAAAAAGAAACGTTGGGGGAGAGAGAAAGAGAAAAGTGGGGCAGAGAGAGAAAAGTGGGTGTTGGTCACGTGTAGTAGGTTGGTGGTGGATGATAGTATAGTTACTAATCTATCCTTAATGAGTGAGACAATTGACATTTTTTTTAGCTGTTGGATTATCCGATGCGATGGCTGAAATTTATTCTCGTTTCTTCACTAAGCACCATTCTCATGTGAGTGCGACCCTATATATATATATATATATAAATTGGCTAGATCTTTCTCTCGAGATGATGTAAAAAATAAAACCTGAGAATATGCAATTTACTCGAGATCTCCTCAAAGTTGAAATTTGTTGCCAAATGTTATATATCTGGCCAGAAGAAGCCGCGAACATGGAGAGGTGTTGCGCAGAGAAAATCATCAATACCCATCAATATTTCTCATATGCTTTATCTATTAAAAAATAAAATGTGAATAATTGCTGACTACTCAAGTATGTACTCCAGTTAAAAAAAAAACTAAATAGTACGTTTGGTCTATTTTTTTATTACCACATAAATTAGACCATGATCACTTTTAATTACATTAGAAAATAATTTTGTATAAATTAAATTTATTTCTTACATGGCAGATGATGTTTTTTTTAAGGGAATGTGGGTGAATTTCTCAAATTATCTTTATCGGTGACCCAATACCTTGGGTCACCATAAAAATGGACAAAAAAAAAATGAAAAAAAAAACAAGAAAAATGCGTGTGAACTTGGTCACAACCGGTTGGGGGAGGGATTTGAGACACTTGTCGAGATTTTATTGGACAAGTGTATTTTTTAAATAAGATAAAAAGTAATTTGTATTTTTAGTGGTTAATTTATATTAAAAATAAAAAATTAAAAATACCAAAATTTTTATTTTTTCATTCTCTATAAACAGAGACCACATTTGATATGTTTTGGAACACAATTACCATTTAGTAATGGTAATTGATGTATGATTTTATTCGAAATGTTTGTACCTCGTTTAACTAATTTTAATAGTTTGTTCCAATCTCTGTAATATCAAATTTTAATTGAGTTCGTAATTTTTTTAATTATATGGTAAAATATAATTTTTTTTAAACAAGACTTTAGTTATTTTTTTATTCTCTATAAACAGAGACCAAATTTAATATGTTCTGGAACACAATTGCAATTTAGTAATGGTAATTGATGTATGATTTTATTCGAAATGTTTGTACCTCGTTTAACTAATTTTAATATTTTGTTCCAATCTCTGTAATATCAAATTTTAGTTGAGTTCGTAATTTTTTAATTATATGATGAAATATAATTTTTTTGAAATAATTAGGACTTTAGTTATAATCTTTTTAATTAATTTGTCACACCTAAAACAATAACATAAATCAATTGTGGATAATACTTAATAAATAAACAAATAAATAAAAATAAAATAAATATTTGAGTTGGTTTGGGTTGAGGATAAAGTCAAAGCATGTTTGCATACAAGAAATTTCAAAAAAAAATAAAAATCCACCATTTTAATTCAATCACTTTTTTTAATTCAACTTTAACTCAACCCCACTATCATCATATTATCAATATAATTAAATAATATCAATCAATCATTCGTACACACCACATCTACCTTAATTCACTATTCACCCACTCACATTATTTTAACTAACCATCACTTCAAATCATCTCTCTCCTTCTTTTCCATTAAATCAATTTTAATGATTCTATTTTAAATATTATTTTAATATACCCACTAACAACTAACCATACCACTTTTTTCAAAATTAACCAAACCAAATCAAAAAATCCAACAACACTAAAATTTTTTATATCCAAACATGCTCAAATTGGTTTGTAAAATTGGATTGTATAGCAGAAAGAGACAAATATTTTTTAGTTGTTAGGTTGAGTTATTGATTAAGATGGTTTTGAGTTCATTTCCCACCCTTGATATCTTCCTCGTCCTTCTCTCTTTTATAATTATTATTATTATTATTATTATTATTTCTGTTTTTCACCTCTTCTTTGTCAAATCCTCCTCTTTCATTTTTTCAATTATCTCATATTATTATTATTATTATTATTATTTCTGTTTTTCACTTTTTCTTTGTCAAATCCTCCTCTTTCATGTTTTCATTCATCTCATTTTCAGTCACCGCACACGCGCAACAGTCGAGACAACACAGATAAACCATCCCTACATAAACTAAGATGCATTGGTCCCCTTTTCTAGGGATCCCAATTTGCCTAGCTCTTTTTTCTTTCTTCCTCATCAGAATCTTTCCTCTGGAATCTCTCACCAATCCACCTCCGTCTGTATGATTTCTCATTCATGTCTTTTATATTTTCTGTATTATTACAAAGGCAAATGATAGTATTAAGCAATAACCCCAATTTTGTTTTTCCCATTACAGAGACTGTTCACTGTGGAGGAGTTGGCTCTTTACAATGGAACCGATCTTGCTTTACCTATTCTTCTTGGAATTTTGGGGTATGCATCTTTTGCTAATTTTGGTGAATGCTTATTTTTTTCGACAAAAGTGTTTTTCCGATTGATCGTTGTCTTGAATCTTTCTAATTTTGTTCGTCTACAAACTCAGGTCCGTCTTTGATGTAAGTAAAGGCAAAAGCCACTATGGAGACGGAGGCAGCTATAACCATTTTTCTGGGAGGTACTTTTGTTCTCTCTGGTCAAATTAAACGTTGGATCAACAATACCGATTAGAATCAAATTCGGTATATATTGTTTTCTAGATACTTAGAAATATACACATGAATTTATGAATTTAACTCTATACCAAGTGGGCTACAGTAAATAAAGAATTAAATTTCCAGATTTTACCTCTAGAGAGAAATTTGCCACTGTAGATAGGAGNTTCGAACATGTTCCTGTTCGTTCGATTAGTAAACGAACAAAAAATTTTGTTCGTGTTCGTTCGTTTATTGGTTCGACACGTTCGTGTTCGTTCGTTTATCTAGTCGAACATGTTCATGAACTGTTCGAATTGTTCGACAAGTTCGTGTTCGAGTTGTTCGACATGTTCGTGTTCGTGTTTTTTAACTTTTTTTTTTTATTTTAATGTCATACAAGTTATTTTATTTATTATTTAATACCTATTCATATTTATATGTTTAATTATATATGTATACACTATATATAATATATAAAATTATAAAATATTTGTGTTTTATTTAATATTTAATATATATTCATACTTATATATTATATTATACATGTATATACTATATATAATATATAAAATTATAAAATATTTTTTTGTTCGCGAACGCTCGATTAGTTCGCGAACATGTTCGTGTTCGTTCGATAACTAAACGAGCGTAATTTTATGTTCGTGTTCGGTTCGATTGCTAAACAAACGAGCTGTTATCGAACACGAACGAACTCGAACGAGCTTTGTTCGTCAACGTTCGGTTCGAAAAACAGCCCTACTTGGGACTAAAAAGCTATGTTGTTGATGTTGTAGTAATATTTACCTGACAAATAGATATGCAATATGTAAATAAACTAAAAATATTGTATTCATTTATAAATGATACATACATTAATATATATGTTCATTGAATAAGAGATAAGTCTTATCAATCAAAACTACTGTGTAAATACATGATAACATTAAATATGCGTCTTTGCAAGTATATATTACAGAATCAACAAATATAAATCAATTACATTACATAAACAATGCAAGGTGCACCATATAATTTAAATGTGTAGAACATTTTATTTGTGTATGAAGTATCTCAAACCCATTTGCACGAGCAGAAACTAAGTGGGTGTATTTTAAAACTACACCTTTGTATTCAAGAACAATTAAAACTATTGTGTTCATGAATTAAAAGATAAATATGCATTACTATTTGTCAGGAGTATCTCCATCTCCAATCCAATTGAATGAACAGAAGCTAGGTGTATGTGTATGCATATGTGAAACCGCACTTCGATCTATATTCAACAATTTTGAGTGTCTGTTCACAACCTAGTTTTGGAGTTTTTAGATATACACCATGTCCACCGAAACATTTGTTTCAACCATATTT